GGCATGAGCTCTTTTTTATTACTTAACTTTTCAATTTTTCTAAAATATAACTTTAATTTTTGAATAAAATTACACTTTTAACGACGTTAGAGATTAAAAAAAAAGTGATTAACATGTTAAAAACAAACCATTTTCTTCAATTTTTGTGAGTAAAATACTCTACGAGGAGTGGGTTTCGAGATATTTGTGGTAGACCGCTCCGAACATTGCTTAAAATTTTGATGAAAATCGAAAAATTAAAAATTTTTAGAAATAGAAACATGAAAAATATTGGATTAAAACAGAGTCACTAGCCGGGGGCATGGTGGCGCATAGACGTACCGCAAAATTCTTAATAGTTTAGAAGTAATAAGTAAAGTATAGATTTTGACTATTTCTGTTTTTATACTAATGATTTCAATAACTATCATTTACAAATCAATAATTTTTTTTTAAGATAGGAAATTTAATTGGCTTTCTAACAATAACCAACACAAAAGGGTTGTTGAAATGGTTTCGGAGTTATTTACGGTAGACCGCTCTGGAAACCGAAAATTGACCAAAATTTTGTCAAAAATCAAAAAATTAAAAACCTTAAAATTACTCTTCTGGTGTTTCAAAAGTGCATAAAACGTTGAAGAAACACAAAACATAAATTCTTGTAGATTTTTTTTTAAGAATGAACATTTTGGTTTAAAGCACAGATTCTGGCCAAGGGCGTAGCGGCGCAGTGACATTAAGTCAGCATTTTTTCTCTCATTCCAATAAGGATAATAAGAGAATAAAAACATTAAGGCTTTTTTGTCGTAAAATTGAATTTTTTGATTTTTTTGACGATAGACTCAAATTCAGAAAAACAAAAATTTTTAAATCCGTCAAAAGGACGTTTTTTGAACTTTAATTAATCGTACGAGTAAATTAACAGAAAAGTGCATAATTGAGACGAGTTTGATAAAAAACGTTTTTTTTTAAGAATGAACATTTTGGTTTAAAGCACAGATACTGGCCAAGGGCGTGGCGGCGCTGTGACATTAAGTCAGCAATTTTTCTCTCATTCCAATAAGTATAATAAGAGAATATAAGCACACTGAAACAGAGTAAGGCTTTTTTGTCGTAAAATTGAATTTTTTGTTTTTTTCAATCCGTCAAAAAGACGTTTTTGAATTTTAATAGATCGTAAATTAACACAAAAATGCATAATTGAGACGAGTTTGAAAACAAAACGATTTTTTGTAGAATTTTTTTTAAGAATGAAATTTTGGTTTAAGCATAGATACTGGCCAAGGGCGTGGTGGCGCAGTGACATTAAGACAGCAATTTTTCTCTCATTCCAATAAATATAATAAGTATAATAAATAATAATAATAAATATAATAAATAATATAAGCACATTGAAACAAACCATAAAAACATTAAGGCTTTTTTGTCGTAAAATATTTTTTTTTTATTTTTTTGACGATAGACTTAAATTCAAAAAATCAAAAATTTTAAAATCCGTCAAAAGGACGTTTTTTGAACTTTCATTGATCGTAAATTAACAGAAAAGTGCATAATTGAGAAGAGTTTGAAAAAAAAACCGATTTTTTGAAGAATTTTTTTTTAAGAATGATCATTCAAAAAATTCGATTTTTTGTACGAGTAGCATTTTTTTTTAAGAATGAACATTCAAAAATTTTAAAATCCATCAGAAGGACGTTTTTTGAACTTTAATTGATCGTAAATTAACAAAAAAATGCATAATTGAGAGGAGTTTAAAAAAAATCAATTTTTTTTGAGTTTTTGAAGGTTGAGAATGTAATGAAAACGCTTGAAATATGGATAATTTTGAATCAAATATATTGGAAATGGTTAATGTTTTAAACTATTTGAATGGAAAATGTTCCGAGAAACCGATTGGTGTCGAAAAAACCGCAAAATTATTAATTATTATTATTATAAGCAAAGTATAGATTTTGACTATTTCTGTTTTTATACTAACGATTATTCATAAATCAATGATCTTTTTTATAAGATAGGAAATTGATTGGCTTTCTAACAGTAACCAACACAAAAAGGTTATTAAAATAGTTTTAAAGTTATTTACGGTATACCGCTCTGGAGGCTGAAAATTGACCAAATTTTTGTCAAAAATCAAAAAATTAAAAACATTAAATTGCCTTTTTTACGTTTCAAAAGTGCATAAAACGTTGTAAAAACGCAAAGAACAAATTTCAGGTTGAAATAGTTACATTGGTTTAAAGCAGAAACATTGACCGGAGGCGTGATGGCGCAGTGGCATAAAATCGCACCGCGATAATTTTTTTATAATTTCAATATACATAATAAGAGAGTAGAAATACATAAAAGCATGAGCGCTTTTTTATTAACTAACTTTTCGATTTTTCTAAGATATCACTTTAATTTTTCTTGAAAAAGTGATAATTTTGAAATTGAATAAAATGACATTTTTAACGACGTTAGAGATTAAAAAAAAGTGACTACAACGTTAAAAACGAACCAATTTTTTAAATTTTTGTGGGTAAAATGCTCTACGACGAGTGGGTTTCTAGATATTTGTGGTAGACCGCTCCGAAAATTGTTTAAAATTTTGATGAAAATCAAAAAATTAAAAATTTTAGAGGTAGAAACACGAAAAATATTGGATTAAAACAGAGACACTAGCGGGGGTCATGGTGGCGCAGAGACATAAAGACCTACCGAAATTTTCTGCTCGCCATTGTACATAAAACGTTGAAAAACACGAATTTCTTGTGTTTTTTGTGTGTAAATCGCAAAACAAGGTTTTCTAGACGTTTTCAAGATATTTTGAGCGTTTTCGTATTCTCGAGTCCAAACTAGAAACCACAACATTACTTGGAAATATCGTTCATCTCTCGAGGTTGTCTGAAATTATTTCAAGGCAGTAATAACTGTAATAAAACGTATTATATCTCTAAGGAGCTTTGAAATAGTTGAGAGGGCACGTGTAGCCTTCATGAGAGTTCATACATTTAAAAACAAATCGATTTAATTCATGATAAGAAAAAATAAATTCCATTGGGGTCTTGGATCTTTTTTTCACTTTGACAGTTGAAAAGGATGTGAAAAGTAACCGAGAGACACGCGTGACCCTTAGGACACCTCGAAATCGGTCTGATTTAAAACTTCTGCGTCCACAAACCGTTTAATTGTCCTTCGAGAGGCCCCATTTTGACCCTTAACCCTCTTCCAGGTCTCCACTCGTGAAGAAATCGGCGATTTACTATCGATGGAACAACACATCGATCTCATCATCCCTCGCGGTTCGAGCGAATTAGTTCGAAGCATCCAATCACAGAGTCAACATATTCCCGTTTTGGGGCATGCTGAAGGCATCTGTCATGTGTATGTCGACAAAGACGCTGATTTGAGCAAAGCTTTGAAGATTATTAGAGATGCGAAATGCGATTATCCGGCGGCTTGCAACGCGATGGAAACTCTCCTCATCCATGAAGATCTGATGCAAGGAGACTTCTTTTCCGACATTTGCAATATGTTGAAACAGGAAGGAGTCAAAATCAACGCAGGACCGGTCTTGAACAAACTGCTCACTTTCGGGCCCCCACTCGCCAAAACGATGAAACATGAATATGGGGCCTTGGAGTGCTGCATCGAAGTCGTCAAGAACATGGACGAGGCTGTCAACCATATCCATACATACGGGAGTGGACACACCGAAGTCATCGTGACCGAAAACTGTGAGTTGTTTGACATTTTACACTTGGAAAGTGTCTCATTACTGACCTTCTATCACCTCTCTCTATTACTATCATTTTTAACTTTCTAATCTTGGATAGAAATGGACAGTTTCCTTCTCGGTATGTAATATACTATTTTCAGAAGGAGTCACTAATTGTTGAAACTTTCTATTACTTACATCTATTACTACCTCTTACTAACTTTCTAATCTGTCTACAGAAATAACATTTTCTACCACAGTATCAAATATACTATTTTCTGAAGGGGGCAGCAATTGTTAGAAAGTGTATTATTATTGACTTTCTATTACCTACCTCTATCCCTAACCTTGTTAACTTTTTAATCTCTCGACAAAAATCAACAGTTTTCAGCTCTGTATGCATATACTATTTTATTACTGACTTTCTATTACCCGCCTCTATTATTATCCTTTTTAACTTTCTAATCTTTTGATAGAAATGGACAGTTTCCTTCTCGGTATGTAATATACTATTTTCAGAAGGAGTCACTAATTGTTGAAAAATGTTTTATTATTAACTTTCTATTACTTACCTCTATTACTACCTTTTACTAACTTTCTAATCTGTCTACAGAAATAACATTTTCTACCACAGTATGTAATATACTATTTTCTAAAGGGGGCAGCAATTGTTAGAAGGTGTCTTATTATTGACTTTCTATTACCTACCTCTATCCCTAACCTTGTTAACTTTCTAATCTCTCGACAAAAATGAACAGTTTTCACCTCTGTATGCATATACTATTTTATTACTGACTTTCTATTACCCGCCTCTATTACTATCCTTTTTAACTTTCTGATCTTTTGATAGAAATGGACAGTTTCCATTTCGGTATAAAATATACTATTTTCAGAAGGAGGCACTAATTGTTGGAAAGTGTTTCATTACCGACTTTCTATTACCTACCTCTTATTAACTTTCTAATCTCTCAACAGAAATAACATTTTCTAGCACGGTTTGTAATATACTATTTTCAGAAGGGGACACCAATTGTTGGAAAGAGTCTTATTATTGACTTTCTATTACCTACCTCTATTACTATCCTTTTTAAATTTCTAATCTTTTGATAGAAATGGACAGTTTCCTTCTATACTATTTTCAGAAGGAGTCACTAATTGTTGAAAAGTGTTTCATTACTGACTTTCTATTACCTACTTCTATTACTATCCTTGTTAACATTCTCATCTCTGGAGAGAAATGAACAGTTTCCACCTCGGTGTGTAATATACTATTTTCAAAAGAAGGCACCAATTGTTGGAAAATGTTTCATTACCAACTTTCTATTACCTACCTCTTATTAACTTTCTAATCTCTCAACAGAAATAACATTTTCTACCACGGTTTGTAATATACTATTTTCAGAAGGTGGCACCAATTGTTGGAAAGTGTCTCATTACTGACTTTCTATTACCTACCTTTGTAGGTATCCTTACTAACTTTCTGATTTTTCTATAGAAATGAACAGTTTCCACAGTTTTCATTATTGACTTTCTATTACTATTCTTGTTAACTTTCTAGTCTTTAAACAAAAAAAAAACAGTTTTCACCTCGGTTCGTATACATATACTATTTTCTAATTGTTGGAAAGTGTTTCATTACTGACTCTCTGTTACTTACCTCTATTATTATTTATGTTAACTTTCTAATTTCTCTATAGAAATGAACAGTTTCCATCTCAATGTGTAATATACTATTTTCAGAAGAGGGCACTAATTGTTGGGAAGTGTCTCATTACTGACTTTCTATTACCTCCCTCTGTTACTATCCCTGTTAATTTTTTACGCTCTAGACCAAAAATGAACACTTTCTACCTAGGTATGTAATATACTATTTTCAGGAGGGGGCATGAATTGTTGGAAAGTGTCTTATTATTGACTTTCTATTACCTACCTTTATCCCTATCCTTATTAACTTTCTAATCTCTCGACAGAAAGGAACATGTTTCACTTCTGTATCTATATACTATTTTCTAATTGTTGAAAAGTGTCTTTCTTATTACTGACTTTCTATTACCTACCTTTGTAGGTATCTTTACTTTCTGATTTTTTTATAGAAATGAACAGTTTCCACATCGGTGTGTAATATACTATTTTTAGAAAGGGGCACTAATTGTCGGAAAATGTCTCATTATTGACTTTCTATTACTATCTAATGTTTCTAATCTTTAAACAAAAAAATAACACTTTTCACCTCGGTTTGTATACATATACTATTTTCTAATTGTTGGAAAGTATTTCATTACTAACTTTCTATTACCTACTTCTATTACTATCCATATTAACTTTCTTAACTCTCTATAGAAATAAACAGTTTCTATATGTATGTGTAATATACTATTTTTAGAAGAGGACACTAATTGTTGGAAAGTGTCTCATTACTGACTTTCTATTACCTACCTCTGTTACTATCCGTTAACTTTTTAATCTCTAGACCAAAAATGAACACTTTCTGTCTTGGTATGTAGTATACTATTATCAGAAAGGGACACTAATTGTCGGAAAGTGTTTCATTATTGACTTTTTATTGCCTATCTCTGTTCCTATCCTTGTTAACTTTTTAATCTCTTGACAAAAATAAACAGTTTCCCTCTCGGTGTGTAATATACTATTTATTTTCAGCCGAGAGTGCGCGAAACTTCCAACGCATGGTTGACAGCGCATGCGTGTTCCATAATGCCAGTTCGAGGTTCGCTGATGGGTTCCGGTTCGGTTTGGGTGCCGAAGTTGGTATCAGCACTGCCAGGATTCATGCGAGAGGTCCTGTAGGAGTCGAGGGACTTCTTACCACCAAATGGGTTCTATCAGGGAATGGACATGCCGCCTCTGATTTTGCTGAAGGAGGACCGTGCACATGGGTGCATGAAAGTCTTCCAGTCAATTAATGTTCTTACCATTTACCAGTTTTTTTTTATTTAATGTTTTTTTTCATGTATGGAATGTACATTTTGTAAATACATTTGTTAAGTTTTAGAGTGTAAGCTTTGTTTGAATAAAATGTTGATAAATATGTGGTTTGTTTATTTAACAGTGGATGGAAAATGCTATAAAAATACAATTTAATTGAAATTTTAATTAAAAAATATAACTATCGGAAAATAGTGACATAAGAGAAAAATAACAACGTCACCGATTTTTTTCTTTTTTCCATTAGCTTCAACAAGTTGCATTTTGCACAAAACGTTTTTTTTTTTTTTTTTGTAAGAAAAGGAAAAACATTAAATAGTTTGCACAAAAAATTATTAAAGTCTAATTACAGTTTTCTATAGTTCTGTCAAAAACATTGGGGTGTTGTGAAGCAAAATGCAGATTCCTGTATTTGACGATATTCAGTTTAATAGTTCTTTTGATTATAAAACTTCTTTAATAGTTCTTTTGAATATAAACTATTACGTACATAACTTGTAAAACATCAATAAATGCAAATCATAAAAATGCGACTTACACTAACCAATTGCACCAAAAAATAGACGCAAAAAACATACAGAGTTCTGTTATTTTACAGATTTCTGTGTTATTTTTAGGTAATAAATTACTTTTATTAGCTTGTAATTAAAGCTATTACGAGTTTAAAGTTAAAAACTTAATAAAAAAAAACAAACAAAATTTTATTTTTATTTTTAATCACTTTTTCAGTAAAATTCCAAGAGTTTGACAGCTGCTTAGTTAACAAATAGAATACATAGGCAACCAACAATATACATGCGCCAAAAATACAAAGTTAAACGTTATTATATCACACGAGCATTTTAAAATTATTTTTCAATTAAATAACACAAAAAATACACATTTTTTAAAAATAAATTTATTAAAACAAAATGTTTTTCAGATAAGCAACCAACAGTACCTACGCATATACAGAGTGCGCCAGAACTCGCGCCCCAGAGAAAAATTCCATATGTACGGTAAGAATACCAGAAACATGAAAAAAATATTTTAAAAAATCCCATCTACAAAAAATTAGAAATTATGAGAGTTTAAATTTTGCAATTTGACTCTATTTATTTCCGTTAGAAATTCTTTTTTTTGCTACAGGCTATTAGAAGAGAATACAAATAAGCTCTATCCTAAATTGTAACTCTCTTTAAATTTATTTGTGGCTTTTACTGGTATTTTGTTTTTACTTTTAAAAAATAATTATTAAAAAAACATATACAATATGATCATAGATATGAAAAAATGTCAAATGTCAAAAAATAAATGTAACAGATAGAATTTTTAAAACATTTTTTTCATGTTCCTGGTATTTTATCCTACTTGAAATTTTTCTCTGGGGCGCGAGTTCTGGCGCACCTGTATAAAAAATTTAAACATAAAAATTATTTAATAACTTATTCAAAATAAATGCTCAGTATACATTTACACGTATACTTTTATATTCTAGTATATTTTAAAATAAATGGCTTTTTTGGAGTTTGTAATTTTGTAAAATAATCAAAAAACGATAAAATAGTTTAAAAAAAACACCCAATCTGTTTACTGTAAATCACATTTTTTGGGTATTTTAACAATACACAAAAAATTTAAATTGATTTATTCAGTGAAAATAACTTGTATAATAGTAAGTAACACTGCGTAGCTAAGAAGTATTAGTTAAAATACCAAAAAATTGCGTTGATTTTGAGAAAATGGTGTCAAGTTAGTTAAATAAAAGACGGTTCATTTTATACATAAATTTATTTGATATACAAAAATGTATAATTTAAAAATTTAATAAATAAATAAAACCAATGAATATTTCCTACATAATGCAGAAAGTACAGTACTTATGTATTTTTCACAATATGATTGCTATCAAGGCACTGCTATTTTTTACAATTTTTAAACACTTTATATAAATTCTGTAACATATACATTTTCATAACTTGGAACATATTTTTACATATTATGAACAGGCATGGACCTACATTCTAGGCGCGAATTTCTTTTTAATGACTAGTAAGTTTTCCGTAAGACAATAAAATGAAGACCCTCGCTGCTTAATACAAATATACAAAAAAGTGGGACAAAATGCAATACTATTATTACCAATTGCATTCACAATTAATAAAATAAGTACAGAAAAGGAAAACAACAATTGACCATGTACAAAAATAAAAATGCTTTTTAAAATAACCTCAAAATGGTCCCCCACATGAAGCTCCACTTTCGCTTCAATAAATTCAGTAAAAACGACACCTTAATAACGCTCATCGTCTCAACGATGTTTATAAGGCCTTCCACATCAGTACTTCTACTCTCACAATCAATAAAAACTTGTAGGTCGGTAAAGAAGAAATCGAATTTAGCGGATGCTCACTGCAGATTGGTTCGCACCTCGGCTTAGTGTACTGTTGTATTATCAACAAGAAATTACTCCCTGGGATTTAGGGATATTCGTGAAAAGATATCGTAACCAGTGTCAAAATTTAGGTTATGTCACCTGTCAACCTTAAGCAATCAAAATTACTTCTGAAAATTCTAGTTACAAACGCAATTTTCCTAAAAGTTTGAATCCTAGGTGGTAATTTCTTGTGACAAATCTGTACACCCTGCTTTGGGCATCCGATTAAAAAGTATAAAAAATATTTAGGTGGGTGGAAAATTTGTTAAAGTCCTTATTTCCTTGGCTTCTTTTACCCTGTGGCCAGGCACCGCATATCAGCCTCAAACTCGGGAATAGTAGGACGGAAACTACACCACAGCACCGCTCCTTGAAGAAGAGAAATTCAGCCTTGTGACCATCATCATTATCATCACTGAGTTCCACTTAGTACAACAGCACTTTGGAGGAGTGTCTTTCGATCACCTGCACGGGGCTAAAAGTATTTCTAGCCAGCAGGGACAGGAGGTGATCTCCTGGCGCTTGTACAGGGGGCCCCAGCCCTTCGCGAAACTGATTCGTATCGAGTTGGGGTCGACGGGGCCGTGGGTGCTGAAGTCCCAACAGGTTCGATGAGCCGCCTTCTGGGGGTCGTAGACGCAGAGGCATTGCTCGGCAGGTACTCGAGTAGGTAAGGGAGAATCGGCGATGTCCAGAGTCACAGAATTCACGAAAATGGGGTTCTCGGAGCGGTTGTACACCCACACGGAACCGCCTTCGTGGGACAGTGTCACGCCTGAAAAAAAAAAGAAAATTTAGTTGCAAAAAAAACAGAATATTTTTTTCCCTGAAGAATTATAAAAAAACCAAGAAAATAAAATAATGTAACAACAAAAACCAAATACTAATAAATAAATTACATTGTTGTTTTTTTTTTCAATCTGCATATACCAAGTTTAATAAAATTATGTCCACTCTGCTATTTGTTTGTCGCAAATACATAAATAATAAAGTCAAATGCAAAAAACAACGTATTTTTTCAGCATCGACAATAAAATACTTCGGATTCAGACAAATGTCATATTTCTTTAAACAATGTTACGCCTGAAAAAAAATTTCCTTATTATTTAATTTTTACCAGTAAAATTTTTCATAATTAATTACGATGAAAACAAACATATTTGATTTTTTTCCCTGAAAATTAACAAAGAAAGCAAAAAACCAACGAACATTATGTCCAAAATAAAATAACGTAACACAAAAACCAAATACTATTAAATCAAACAATATAAAAAATAATTAACATTGCTGTTTTTTAAAAAATCTTCATACACCAAGTTTTATAAAATTATGTCCACTGCAATTAGTTTGAGTCGAATACATAATAGAGTCAAATGTAGCAAAAAAACTATTTTTAAGAAAGAATTTTTTCAGCATCGACAACAAAATACTTTCAGACAAATGTCATAATTTTTTACACTTTCATAACGCCTGAAAAAAAATTTTCCTTATTAGTTAATTTTTACCATAAGAAAAGTTTTTCATAATTAATTACGATGAAAACACAGAATATTTGATTTTTTCCCTGAAAGTTTATAAAAAAAAACAAAAAACCAACAAACATAGTGTGCAAAACTAAATAATATAACAACAAAAACCATATACTATTAAATTAAACAACATAAAAAATAAATAATATTGTTTTTTTTTTAAATCCTCATATAGTTTCATAAAATTATGTCCACTCAGCAATTTGTGTCGAATACATAATAGAGTCAAATGTAGCAAAAACCTATTTTTTATAAAAAAATTAAAAAAACAAACACCTTTGTGTATTTTTTCAGCATCGACAATAAAACACTTGAGATTGTTTTATTAAAACAAATGTCATAATTTTTTACATTTTCATGAAACAGTGTTACGCCTGAAAAAAATTAAATTTTTCCTTAGTTAATTTGAAGTTTGAAAACATAAACAGGTGTCCAAAATAAAATAAGTAATATAATAACCAAAAATAAATAATAAAAATAATATTAAATCTTCGTATATCAAGTTTCATAAAATTTTGTCCACTCCCCTGTGTAATTTTGTATCTGTATTTTTTTGTCACAGATCAAAAAGTCGGATGCACAATTAATTTCATTGAAAACAAACAGAAAATTTAATTTTTTTCCTGAGAAATTATTAATAAAAACAAAAAAAAACACAAAAACTCTGAATACAAGAACATAATGTTCGAAATAAAATAACAGTACAACAGCAACAACCAAAGACTATTAATGCAAACAACATAAATAATAAAAATATTGTTGTGTTTTTTTAATCCTCATATACCAAGTTTCATAAAATTATGTCTACTCTGCAATTTGTTTGTGTCGAATACATAATAGAGGCAAATGTAGCAAAGGACAATTTAATATAAAAAATTTAAAAAAATAACATTTTTGTATATTTTTTCAGCATCGACAAAACACTTCAGATTGTTTTATTAAGACAAATGTCATAATTTTTTAAACTTTCATGAAACAGTATTACGCCTGAAAAAAAAATTTACCTTGGTTAATTTTTACCATTAGCAAAGTTATTCATAATTAATTATGATGAAAACGTTGAAAATAAACAGAATATTTGTTTTTTCTTACCAAAAAATTACGAGCAAAGGAACAAAACACAAAAAGTTTGAAAACAAAAACAAGTGTCCAAAATAAAATGTGTAATATAATGACCAAAGATAAACAATAAAAATATTGTTTAATTTTTTTTTAATCTTTATACATATACCAAGTTTCTCAAATTTTGTCTACTCCCATATGTAATTTTGTATGTGTAAGTCACAGATCAAAAAATCGAATGCATCATAGTATCAAATGTAGCAAAAAAATGTAAAAAAAAAATAAAAAACAAAAAAATTACACTTACTTTTATAGTGCATTTTTTCAGCATCTATAATATCAAAATCAGATTACTGTAATTGTCATAATTTTTTTTCACCATTTTTTATTAGTTGAAAAGTGATGGATTTTAGAATAAAGCAAAAATCTCAAAAAAGTGGTTTGAAAACAAAAAAATAACATTCAAAATAAATCAGGGTTTTAACAGAAAAAAAAAACAAAAACTAATAAAGCAACACATTTTGTATATTTGTATTTTTTTCAATATCCAAAATATCATAAATACTTTTTTAATTAAAAAAAATATGTACATAAACTTAGTTTCGTTAAATTTTGTCCACAAATAATTTTAAAGTCTATAATAAAAAACTTTGTTCATTAAAAAATATTTATTTTGCTCTCATAAAATCGAAAAATCAAACTCTCTCATTAAAAGATACAAGATGATTCATAAAAAACTACGCAATCGAAAATGCAATAAACAGCTAAACTATATTAAAAAATTAAAATTTATTGATCACATTTTGGACACCCTGCCAATCTGATAATTAAATGTGTGAAAGCTTACTTAAAATGATATTTCTTCTAAAGATGTCCAAAACTATATGAGAAATTAAATAAATAATTTTTGTGTAAAATATTCCTAAGAGAAAAATAACAGATGATCTGTATTTTTTTGAAAAAAATTGATGTAACTGGCCAAAAATCCCTAACATTTCTTTACTTCTTGTTGAAGTCGTCAAAAAAAGGTCAGTTTAAATTTTACCAATACTTTGAATGTAAACCAGGTTTCACCAAAGTTTGTCCACTTTGTAGTGTATATCAAAAAGTAGGGTTATAAAAGTTAACTTTGTTTTTTTGATTACCTACCTAGACCAATTTTACACCTCCCATGTCTGACAGACTCTGGCGCGTTGCAATTTTGTTGAGCTAACGTTTCTAACGACAGCCCATCGCAATAGGGCACGTCACCGAAGACATTCACAGCCGGGGCTTCCACGGGAAAGAGCGGACCCACCCGTTGGGCCAACTCCCAATAGGCCAATCTGCACCACTCCGAAGGGTTTCGCAACGAATCTGAAAAAATATATATGCCGTGTACAAACAATTGTGAAACCCGCTATACCACAAAATTTTTTTTAGTGGACAAATAATTTCGAAATCGGTTATGTTTTTTATGCGTGACATTGACAGGTGCGCCGAGTGTAACATCAACAACGACGTGACGTCATTGACGTGGCGCCAAGCGTCCATCTGCCGGCGCCGCGAGGTGCATGTTGATCGATCAAAGACACCTGGCCTCCCACTTTATAACGAATAGTTGGCGGTGCGTTTTGGCATTTCTTTTTTTTTTCATTTCGGTATGTGTGGGCCAAGCTACGACGTGACTGGAAAATGCCGTTAGGATGTCACACCAGTGGCGTACGGTCCGAATTTCCCACGGGAATTTTTCAATTTCAAACGTTGGCAATTCTGCTACGTCTCATTACACCTGCTGGCTTCCCATAAGCCTCATTAGAGGCGCTGGGGTTAAAAGTACTTCTAAGTACAATTTTCAATWAAACATTTAAAAAAAACACGTATTTTTTCAGCATCGATAATAAAACACTTCAGATTCAGACAAATGTCATATTTTTTACACACGAAAGTGTATAAGTGTATTTATGAAAATAAAACAGTGTTACGTCTGAAAAAAATCCTTAATATTTAATTTTTAGTATTAGTAAAGTTTTTCATAATTAATTACGATGAAAACAAGCAAAATATTTGCTTATATATATATATATATATATTTCCATAA